TGACACTCTATCCTAGGGGTGTTGAACTCAATCAGAGAAGGGGCCAAAATCTAAAATCCAGCCTAAATCGAGGGCCGAATGGTTTACTGAACAGTCATAAACTGTCATTGTGATGGAAACGCAGCGGAGTGCAGTGATGACAGCGCGGTGCGGGCCACATTGCAAGGCCTGGCGGGATGGATTTGTCAAACACATGTGCTCTATCTAGTAAGCCAAACTAACTTAGGCCTAGAATACATGACTTTTAAAGACCTATTTGAACTCTAAGATTGTATTAAAAATAAAAACTTTGCCGAAACCGGTTTGGCTCAATGGATAGAGCGTCGGCATGGGGACTGAAGGGTCCTGGGTTCGATTCTGGTCAAGGGCATGTACTTTGGTTGCGGGCATATCTCCAGTGGGGGTGTGCAAGAGGCAGCTGATCGATGACTCTCTCTCATTGATGTTTCTGATTATCTCTCACCTTTCCTCTCTGTACAAAAATCAATAAAATATATTTAAAAAATAAAAAATAAAAACTTTAAAAATTTATATATTGTAATGATTTCAGGCAGGAAGGGAGAGGGAGAGATATGAGAGAGAATCATTAATCAGTTGCCTCCTGCATGCCCCCTACTGGGGATGGAGCCTGCAACCTGGGCATGTGCCGTTGACCAGATCGAACCCAGGACCTTTCTGTCCACAGGCTGACACTCTATCCATTGAACTAAAATGACTAGGGCAATAAAAACTCTTAAAGGCCCTAGATGGTTTGGCTCAGTAGACAGAGCATCAGCCTGTGGACTAAAGGGTCCCAGGTTTGATTCTGGTCAAGGGCACATGCCTGTGTTGTGGACTTGGTCCCCAGTAGGAGCCTGCAGGAGGGATCAATGATTCTCTCTCATCATTGAAATTTCTATCACTCTCTCCTCCTTTCCTCTCTGAAATAAAAATATATTAAAAAAACACAAATTTTTTTTTTAAAATATATTTTATTGATTTTTTTTACAAAGAAGAAGGGAGAGAGATAGAGAGCTAGAAACGTCGATGAGAGAGAAACATCGACCAGCTGCCTCTTGCACACCCCCTACCAGGGATGTGCCCGCAACCAATGTACATGCCCTTGACCAGAATCGAACCTGGGACCTTTCAGTCCGCAGACTGACGCTCTACCACTGAGCCAAACCGGTTTCGGCAAAAAACACAAAACTCTTAAAGACCATATATTACTGTATAAGAAACATCATGGTATACATTTATATTATAGTTGGTATCTTCCTCAGTTTCAGAAAATATAAACTTATTTTTTTAGAATTTAATTAGCCTATCTAATAAAGAGGGAATATGCTAATTTACCATCACAACCTCACAAAGATGGTGGTGCCCACAGCCAATAAGGAGGGAATATGTTAATTGACTGTCACACCCTCGAAAATGGCGGCACCCACAGCCACAAGATGGCAGTTCCCAGTCCCCTCAGCCCTGCTGGGGTGGCAGGTGCACAGCATAGCTGGGCCCATCCCCAGGCAGGCCTAGCCACTCCGCACACCTGCCTCTGGAGTCCCCCAGTCCTCTTAACTCCCTGTCGCCCAGGGCTGGCAGGAGGCACAGGGAAGCCTTGGATGTTGGCTGCCCAGCCATGCAGGACCGGCCCAAGGTGCAGGCAAGCCTTGGATGGCGGTTGCACAGCCTCCCAGGGACAGCCCAAGGTGCAGGCAAACTCACAGTCCCCCAAGGCTCAGGTAACGAGTGCCAGCTGAGGCTTGCGCAGCCAACAGTGGCAGCAGCAGAAGTGTGATGAGGGTGTCACCTTCCCTTGATTGCCAGGTTGCCTCCCACCCTGGAGGGCTCCCAGACTGTGAGAGGGGGCAGGCCGGGCAGAGGGACCCCTCTCCCACTCAAGTGCATGAATTTTCATGCATCGGGCCTCTAGTATTATAAATATAACACTGGCAAATGGACATCCAATGAGCTGTGAATCAAATGGGGACATTATCTAGTGTTTCCCATCATTGGATGGCTGGGGGCAAGATATGTTTTTATTTGCAATTTATGGTTTGAACCTGAGATTGCTGGAGAATTTCTAAATTTATTACAAAGAAAAGCTTTTAGTAGTGTATGTTACTCTGTAACTATATGTAATTGACTATGAGAAATTATTATTTTTCCCTGATTATTGGAAAGTCAAAGTTTTAGATGGTCTCTGTTTCTAAACCAAATATATTCTTCAGTTTTGTCTTATTTCTGCTTCATTCCTTCTTACATCACCGTGTTTTGATTTGTCATGGCACAATAGGCTTTGGCATTGGACATAACTATGCTTTTCAGATGTAGTTTTTATAGTTTGTACACAAGATTAGGAGTCAGGGACTTAAATATTGACTCTGGATTCCCTGGAACTTGCCTGCCCTGCTGGTAGCTTCAGTATTGGTTTGGTACAATGATCCAACTTCACAAGAAAGAATAGCAGTATTTAATCTTGGTAATTAAAGTTGTAAGCCTTGGAATCAGCAGTTATAACCATCTTTCTTATTATTTTCTTCAATCATCAGTGTTGTATTAATTGTATGATAATCACCATGGTAAGTCCCAAACTTACTTTCCTCTTATGGGAATTTAAAAAAATATATATTTTATTGATTTTTGTACAGAGAGGAAGGGAGAGAGATAGAGAGTTAGAAACATCAATGAGAGAGAGTCATTGATCAGCTGCCTCTTGCACACCCCCTACTGGGGATATGCCGGCAACCAAGGTACATGCCCTTGACTGGAATCGAATCCGGGGCCCTTCAGTCCCCAAGCCGACGCTCTATCCATTGAGCCAAACCGGTCCCGGCTGTTAAGGGAATTTTTTATGCTCTCAGAGTCCTTTTACTTAAAAGAGTGTATACATACTCAATTTAACATTTTTCCAGCTCACAACGGTTTTATCCCATATAGAGGCCTGGTGCACAAAATTAGTGCACAGGCAGGGTTCCTAGGCCTGGCCAGTGATTGGGGCCTCCCAGCTGCCAACCAGGGCCTCCCTTCCCCAGCTGCCAGCTGCTGGATGGAGCCCTCTTTTGTTTCGCGGCACCCTCTGATGATCAGCACATGTCATAGCAAGCGATTGGTCTCCCTGTCAAACTCCACAGGGAGAATTTGCATATTAAGCTTTTATATATATATATATATATATATATATATATATATATATATATATATATATATATATATATATATATGGCTACTACTCACTTTTGCTTGTATCCTAACACACAGGAACAGGGTTGATAAATGACAGATTTGTAGCAGAGACAGGCAAAAAACCAGTAAACTAAACACAAGAAAGGGACAGTATGAACATGGAAGGTTCATAGCTAGACATGAGAGGCCACATGATAAGGGCCTAGTATAATATATGTTTGGTAATTAAATAAAAGATGAATAAATCCAAGTATGCAGAGAAATGACAGGAGGGAGGGAGAGGAAATGAGTCAGAAAGGACAGAAACAAATGAAAGAGAATGGAGATAGGCAAATGGCAAGAAAATAGGCCTCTAGATATAGAAATGAGAATGCAAGTAGATAAAATGTGGTGGAGGGTCTCAGAAATAACTTTTTCTTAAGAACAGTAGTTTTGAACAATAGTTTTGACATTTTTAATAAATAACTTAGTTTAGTACTTTGACTAAAAATTCCTACCACTTCACTTGGCATTTGCAAAGGCCCAACTATAATATAAAATGAAACTGCAATAATGTCTTCTGCTTCTGCACCTTCTTAATTATATTGAGAGATCCTAACAGTAGTGGAGGAACTCACCTTGCTCTGGTCCTACATAGCAACCTGCCTGAGAAATATTCTTAAGGTCTGTAGGAATAAATACCATATTATAGCTGATCTAACCCTAAGCTGCCATGCCCTGGCTATCCAGCTATTCTAATCTACTAATCTACTAATGACTATTCTGCTTTGGCTCTCTTATAAAAGATATGCTAGTCCTCAAATAAAAAAAAAGACAAGATACTTATTGAAATTTCATAATGTAACAAAGCCCAGGCAAAATCTCATTGAACAGAGAATGCAAGTGAACTTAAGTACCCAGTAGGTACTTTATATGTTATTACATTTTTCCCACTTTTGAGCACAGGGAAGTTTAGTAAATGACTTACCCAAGGTCATACAATAGGCAAATTATGGTTTTGTGGGGGGTTTTGTACAATAGATTCAATGCAATTTCTGTCAAGATACCAATGGTGTATTTCACAGAACTAGAACAAATATTACAGATTTTTGTTTTGTGTGTGCATATATATACATATACCTGGCAGTTGCTTGGGATCTTTAATCTATTACCCCTTACCTAATTATAATACAGTGGTGGAAGATAGCCATAAAAATATTTAATTGAGTCAAAGGCCCAGAACTGCCCTCTACTGTGGAAGAGTAAGATTTTCTGTTTCACCAGGTGCCCCCAAATTTTATGCCATAGAAGGCTGCATTTGTTAACTCCAAAACATTTTATGGCCTTTGGTGATCTAGGTTTTGAAATATTTCTTTCCAAAACAAATTAATCATTTATGTGAATACATGTGCCATCTATACAACTAAGAGGCTCAGAGCTACCTATGCCATTTTTACCCACTGAAACCATTATGTTGTGACTAAAGAAAGTGTTCATAGAGCTGAATGGGCTTTGCAGTTTTCGAGTTTCTGAAAGGAAATGGTTTTATATGTCAGCAAAAAGGATAAGAGGTGCCAGTTGGTACCAAATCTAGGCAATTGTTTGTTTTTTTTTGTTTTGTTTTTATATATTATATTGATTTTTTACAGAGAGGAAGGGAGAGAGATAGAGAGCTAGAAACATCAATGAGAGAGAAACATCGCCCAGCTGCCTCTTGCATACCCCCTATCGGGGATGTGCCCACAACCAATGTACATGCCCTTTACTGGAATCGAACCTGGGACCTTTCAGTCTGCAGACCGACGCTCTACCACTGAGACAAACCGGTTTTGGCTAGGCAACTGTTAAATTAAAAAGAGCATGATGCAGCACATATACAAAAATTAGAATGATACAGAGAAGATTAGCATGGCCCCTGTGCAAGGAAGGCATGCAATTTGTGAAGTGTTTCATATTTTTAAAAATATTCAAAAAGAATATGGTTCTGCTTCAACAAAGGAATAAAGCATAAATCTGAAGAAAATCATAGTGTGAAATTGACAAAAACCTTCTATAATGTTGTGAACTTCCTGAGGAGTGCATTGTAAACAAGCTAGGCAAACATAGGAAGCAGTAAACAGAAAATTAAAAATAAAAATATCCGAAGAGATACTGGAAAGATGGGAATTTTACTTAAAATAAAGGTGAATCATATAACAAGAGTAGTTGGGAACAAGTAACATGCTTCCACTTAGATATCCGATACTTAGAAGTGCTTAAAAGATTTAGAAAAAACTTTTTGGTCTCCAGTTAGGCAGAAATTTTTTATAATGAGAAGAAAGGATAAAATGGTGATTTCAGTAAAAAAAAAAAAAAGTGAAGTCTGGATTGTTTCTTGTCAGAAATTTCTCTGCCAGGGGTACTATAGATGGAGGAGACAAAAAACCCCTAAGTCTAGGGAAAATTGATCTTTTTAGTAAAATTTTTGACGACTATGGAGATTTAGACACTTGCTGTCTCTAATTACAGTCAGTGTGAATAAGTGGAGACAGCCAAGAATTGGAGCGAGGAGAAAAGTTCCCATTTTTTCCAGCTGTTTCTTTGTGACTCAGGTTAATGTGCCCATGCCTCAGTTTCCTTTTTCATACAGCAGGAAAACCTGCTGTTTATCATATTTGCAGATCTGCAGGGATTGGATGAGGTAATGTCTGTAAAGGCCTTGAATTCTTAAGGGAAAAGTGCTATGTAAACACAAGGCAGTATTGTTTTACATTGAAACTGAAGATCTATCCTGTAGAAATGGAAACATCTTATTTACATTTTCTATAGCTTTAAGAAATATCAGAATGAAGAGATAACTTCTTCATTTTTTTAAAGAATTTCTGGTGGATTCTAAAGCAATGGTCACTTGGTACTTCCCAGTCCTTTCTCTGACTGAGTGCAGCAGAATTCTGGCTACTGTGAACCATCATATCTGTGATCTGTGAGGTGCTTGTTTCTTTCAGAGGAGCTGAATGTGGTCAGGTTGAAATACAATTATTCTCATTCAGGCCTCCTTGGTGAGAAGGAGTACCTTTACTTCCACAGCTCCATAGCCGTTTATGCCGATTGGGAGGGGACACTTGGCCACAGCTATCTTGAACCCCAGAAAAAAAAGACAAAATTGCCATACCTATTTTTGTTCTGTAAAATAGAGTCAAGGAGCAAGTCAACTGGTTCAGTTAATATTTGATCCTTACAAAAACTGCACTTATTTATGAATCCTCAAATGAAGTGGTGTTACTAGTGCCAAACTGCTGAAACATCATAAATAAAGTTTATTGTTCTATGGGAATGTTAGTATCATTGCCCTCAAAGAGGAAGGATACAGAAGCCTTGACTGGTGTGGCTCACTTGGTTGGATATTGTCCCATGCACTGATGAGTTGCAGGTTCTATTCCCGGTCTTTATTTGCTTACGCCAACAATTCTTCATGAACTGTGTAAAGGAAGCAGAATAAAAATATGAATGAATAATTTAAGATATTAGAACAAAGTCCCTCAAATTATTTCTTTATGGATTTGGTATACAGTTAGATACATGTATGTTTACTAGTATTTATAAACTCAAAGCATCCAAACACTCTTTGGTGAAAATTCTGGAATATACTAGTAAGCCCTCAGAATTATGTTTGTTTCTCATCAGTGTAGTGGCTATAGCATTGCAGATCATCAGACATAAATAGCCCATCAGCAGCTAAAGAATTTATGTAGATGCAATCAAATTGAAGGAGGGATCATAGCTTGTCAACTGTTTGCTTAGCTCCATTCTCAACAGTTAAGGTTCAGGAAAGATAGTACTCTAGATCTCATATTCTGCTCACTAAAAAAAAAAGAGTAACTTTAGAGAAGGAATTTATAATTATCTATGTGCAGCTTGGCCAAAGGAAAAAAATATTTTTCCAGTTGAAAAATTTTATAAGTTCTAGAGAAAATTAATACCGTGTTTCCCCAAAAATAAGACATCCTCCAAAAATAAGACCTACTTACAGGTTTCCTTCTGAGTGAAATATAAGGCATTCCCCCGAAAATAAGGGCCCCCCTAGGCTAAACATGAGAGATTTGGTCCACTGATTCTGAAAGAAATGGAGTCACAAGAAATTCACCAGGAAATTCAGGAATTGGATTGTTATGATGATGTTCCAGAAGATGATGACATGATTGTCATTGAATAAATGAGTAAATTCTTGATACTGCAGGATTCACAGTTTGTCTGGTTTGTGTTGACAACTACCATACTACCATACCATATACAGGTTATAAATTTCCTTTATTTTCATTTAACAATAAATGTGTACCGTATTCTTCTTCATGGAAAAATAAGACATCCCCTGAAAATAAGACCTAGCGCATCTTTGGGAGCAAAAATTAATATAAGACACTGTCTTATTTTCGGGGAAACAGGGTATCACTGAAGGTTTGAAAAAATATATAAAAGAAAGATTTACTTTCTCCACTTAGCTGTTGTGTATTTCCTTAGTCTTTTTTATTTCTATATTTTTCATTAAAATTTTTCTAACTTAAAGATTGGCAATCTGTTTATCAAATGGAAAGCTATAAATTCCAACAGTGTTGATATCTTTTTAGCTTTATTATCTAACTAGAGGCCCAGTGCATGAATGTGTGCATGGATGGGGTCCGGCTGGCCCCGCCCTCCAGTTGGGGGAGAGGGGAGGGGAAAGCCTGATCGGGGCTAGGGCCGGCCAGGGAAGGGCCCATGGCAGTTGGCTGTCCACCCCAACTCCTGGTCAAACTCCCAGTTGAACTCCAGGTTGAGGGGACAATTTGCATGTTATCTTTTTATTATATAGGATATGGATTTGAGAGATGAGATAGTAAAAGAGTAAGATGAGTTAAATGGCAAGTTGAATATTACAAATGAACAATAATTGAAATATTGAAAATATTCTAGGAAGATAAAAGAATGCTAGAAAAGAAATTGGTGGGGCCTATCTAAGTGATAGTTTGTCATATTGAGGCACTAACACTTTGGGGACTTGGTAGCATAATTTGAGTCTAGAGGCTTTATTCAAAATCCTAAGATATCTCTCAGAACGCCATATTTCAGTACAACATCATTAGGCTGCTAGGATAACCTAATAAACATTCAAATAATCAGACCACCACCAGCTGTCATAGATCACATATACTAGTTTTTTGGTATCTATATACCGTATTTCCTGGCGTATAAGACAACTTTTGAAACGGAAAAAAAGTCAACCGAAAATCGGGGGCAAAAGACCAAAATCGCACAAAAATTACCTGCAGATCTTGACAGCAAAGTAAGTCTTTGAAGTGGGAGGTAGTCTTATACAGCGAATATAGGCCTAAACCTATGTTTTAACTGTAAAATTAGGGGGTCATCTTATACGCAGGAAAATACGGTATATAAAAGCCCAAGTGACCAGAATGATGGGAATGACTGGTCACTATGATGTGCACTGACCACCGGGGGCAGACGCTCAATGCACGAGCTTCCCCCTGGTGGTCATTGCACTCCCACAGCCAACCTACCCCAGCCAGCCAACCTCTCGTGGTCCCTCTCTCTGGCCCCTGGGCTGGGACAGGGAACCAGGGATGGGTGGCAGTAGATGTGGCCCCTTTTCCAGGGGTGCCAGGGCTGGCTCCCTTCTTGGGGCCGGTGGCCAACTTCCTGTGCCTGGCTTCTTCCCCTGGCCTCCAGACCCAAATCAGCCTGCGAGCCACGATGGTGGTGCGGCAGCAAGGGAAGAAGGAGTGGGGGAGGTGAGGAACCGCTAGGTGGCAGGGCACCAATGATGGCATTGGCATTCATTCCTTCCAAGCCCACCCCGGCAACTGTCACCTCCTCTCTGACCCAGCCCTGATCAGCCAGGCCCAGGTCAGCCCTGATCACCGGCCAGGCCTAGGGAACTCACCTGTGCATGAATTTTTGTGCACCAGGCCTCTAGTCTTATATAAAACGCTAAGATTTCAAGGGTGATAGTTTTCCTAAGGAGATAAGGCTAGCACACAGATGAAAATCATGCGTAGTAATCAGTTAGCCTTCAAAAATCCCTTAAATTGCCCATAGAGAATAAAGTGCAATCTAACTGGATTTGTGTATTATGATCAGGTTCAGTAAGTAATGCTGCATAGCATGGAGGTATAGTATATGCTATGGTACCGAGTTGATATAATAAGGTATATATCTGAAAAATATTTTATGGTAGTTTTTTATTTTCTTAAACTTTTTCAGCCAAGTATACATTGTTAAATTTGAGTAAGTAGCCCAGGTAGTGTGGCTCAGTGGTTGAGCGTCAACTTATGAACCAGGAGGTCACAGATCATGCTCAGGTTTCGGGCTTAGTCCCCAGTAGGGGCCTGAAAGAGGTTGCTGACCAAGGATTCTCTCTAATTACTATTGTTTCTCTCTTTCCCTCTCCCTTCCTCTTTGAAAGCAATAAAGATATATTTAAAAACAATTTTTAGTAAGTAAATTTGGTTCTTATGCCATTTCACATCATAGTCTTCCTTCATTTTACTAATATTTATGAAAAGTTTAACCTAGTACCAAGTTAGCTATTTATCTCTCTGTTTTATACCTGTAACTCCCAAAGGACAGAATCTGTATCTTATTTATCTTTTGGGTTTTTTCATTCCTTCCCTAAAGCATCTATTATAGTATAATGTTTTGCACATAGTGAGTATTCAGGATATGTTGGTTACAGTGGAGGAAGATGAGCAGTTATATGTGTCTTAGTCAATACTATTTTGATTACAAATAACAGAATCTATTCCAGTTAGCTTACATCTAAAAGGAGATTTACTGGAAAATCTCAGGGACATGGCATGCAACCAAGGAAGGAAATATACAGGTCTCACTGGAGATTGGAACAGAGCACTTTTTGCCTCTAGGAACCAAGACAACTACTCTCTGTCCCTGGCTTTCTGTGCACTATTAGACTCTGACACTATTTGATG